TTAAGCTATAGTTTATTACCAGAAAAAAAGCGATTGTTTTCTTTTTGTTGAATCTATGAGGTATATGCGGAAACGAAAATATGTATGACATGACAGCAATGTAAATGTTAATACTTTTTTTTCTAATATTGAATTTTCTTGATAAAAAAATACTTTATGTTTTTTTTTTGATATAAAAAATAATCGAATGAATTTGGTTTTGTTTCGGTGTGAAAGTAAAACGAAATTTTGAATTTTTTTGTTGTTGTCTTGTTTCACAGAATCTTGTAGTTTGCCTTTCAATTACATTTATATGTGATTCAATATTGGATGGAGATTTAAATTCAAATGTAACATAAACAAAACTCATGTTTGAGTTGTGTTTGAAAATAATTGAAATCATAAAAGAATTACCAATAGGTAAAAGCAAATAATATCAACAAACAAACAAATCATTTTCACCTGAATTTGAAAAATACATTTCAATTTTGTTGAATTTTGATTTTTTAAAAAAAGAAAAATTTTATAAATAAATTTGTATAGAATTCTTTTCGTGTTGTTATATAACCACAGAAAAATATAGAAATATAAATAAATAACTGGTTTCAATATTTTATATGTCAACAATAAGTTAGACTTTGTTTTCGTATTAATCATTATGAATAATTTTATAACGAATCAATTTGGATTGGGTTTTTTTTTCGAACGAAAACATTCAAATTGATAAAAATTCGTATGGTGAATGAAACAAAAAAAAAGAAGAAAAATCCTGCCTTTAGCTGTCAAAATTATTCTTCATTGAATATTTGGTAATAATCAAATTCATTGAATTTTTTACATCATTAAATAACGTATAGAATCGTCAATGAAATTCCTTTATATTATAATAGAATCGAACCAGAAAAAAAATAAAAGATGATATGATTGAATCAATAAATAGGAATCGATCGATCGATCGATCGATCGAATACTTATCGTTAGAAGTATTTTGAATTATTATCGTATTTTATGTATGAGCAAGATTTGTTCTTCTCAAAAAACAAAAACAAAAAAGTATGCATTCGTCGTTGAAATATTCGATTGAATTACCATCGATATAATGTATTCTGATTGTTGCGAATATTTCAGGGGAAAAAAAAGAAAGCCTAATGAATTCAGAATTCATGCTTTTTGTTGCCATTTTGTCTATTACCCGATATGGATCGATCGAATTCGTTTTTCGTTATTTTTTTTTATTACACATAATATTGGCATTTGGGACAATTTAACTTGTCAGAGAGTTAAATTTTCAATTGTTGATAGTACGATGCAATGATAAAATTTTGATAAAAGATTTATCGTTTCCAAAAAAATTTTAGCCAATTTTCTTTTCAAACTCAACTTTTTTTTTTCCTTTCAAATACAATTTTGTGAAAAAGTTATTTTAAAATTCTGAATTCTGAATTTTAACCTCAAGATTTATTTCTTCTAACGTTGAAATTATGTTATGACTAGAATTTTGATAAATCCCATTGTGCCAATGCAAAAAAATAACTGAAAATAAAAATAATTTAAAATTCTGGCCAAATTACCATTGACCATTAAAAAGTCTCGAAAAGAATAACTAAATTAAATGTGAATTTTGCGTGTTAAAATCTGAGAATTTTGAATGGCCAGCTTTTTTATCCTCACAGCTCATTACACACAAACACTTTAAAGTGTTACCATATTTAGGAATCATTCTTTCCGTGTGTTACAAAACAAAATGTACGAATATTTTTTTTTTTGTTGTTGATGTTTTATGTGGAGGAGGATAAGTTGATGGAGCAAAAAAAAGAGACGATTTTGTGTGTAACAAGTTTTTAACTTTGTGTGAATAATGATGATGAATAAACAAGTTACTCGAAATAACTTTCAATGATGTCGATGTTAATTATCATGATGATGATGCCATCATGGCCATCGGACAATAATGAAAAGTTTGTTGATCGAAAAAAACAAACCAGCCACCTGCCTCATTCATTTACAAATCTGTTCCAAAGGAATATTATAGAAAACATAGGTGCAGCATTGTCCTTCAATTTTTTTTTTGTTTTGTTTTGAAACTTGAAATTTGTTTGTGTTTGAAGTTTGTTTTTTTTTTGCTACATTAGTCAACAAACAAAATTTAGTGAAAGAATCGGCAAGAATAACTCTCGGTGATAGAAAAAGTTTTCAGAAATGAAAAGATACTATCATTTTTTTAAAAAAAACCTACTCAAAAAAATGAATTCTTTATTAAAAATTTTACCTTATTGATTTTACATTTCAAATATTTTTTTTTTGTCGTGAATGAATGAATTTTTGTTGTGGCTTTTCATCATGTTGAAACATGTTTGTTTGTGAATGTTGCTCCAGACAATAATCAACGTGAATTCATTCAATTGAACAAAAAAAAGAAAAGTTTTCATTCATTTCAATTTGGTTCATGGCAGTAACACAGTCTGTTTTGGTTGCAATTATTTTAATTTGTGAAATTACTTTCAATTACACTTACATTGTCATCATTAACGGTGAGAATTTGGGATTATTTTCACTTGTATTTCTTTTATCTTGACCTATCTCTCTATATAATTATTTATTTTGATTAAAAAGGTAGATAGGAATTAATTTGTGATGATTATACAATTTCAATTTGACAATAATCACATTCGAATTTGAAAATCTTCGCAACTATATCGACATTGTTCGGCCATTGGTCCTACTTGGATCATATTGGTTTTTTTATATTAATTTTGATGATATTTGGTGGATTGAATGATAAACAAATTGATTGTTTGTTTATTTTTTGGTTTGACGCATGCAGGATTTTAATAACCATGTTGCTATCACGTGTTTTTTTACCTGTTTTTTTTAATCAAATCAATCGAAATCTTATCTGTTTCTAAAAAAAGTCTTTTCATAAGGTATAATAATCCTTTTAAGAATATCTTAGAATGCTTAAATAGAATGATTAATATTTATTTTTGAAATAACAAGCAGACAGTTATCAATTATCATTTTTTTCTCAAAAAGGTTATTTCTCATATTATCAAAATTAATTTGATAAAATGTGTTCAGTCACAAATTGAGCTGTGTGCATTCTCTCCAATGTGTAATTTTTGAAAAAACACAAATCATTTCGCTCGATCACGGATAAAAGCGATGACAATTCATTTCATCACCGAATAACTCTGTTTTGTTGTTTTTCATTTTGATCGTATGATGTCGACCTTATAGAAAATACAACACCTGGTTACGTTATATAAAATTAGTTTGAATTTTATTAGTTTCAAAATTATTTTCGTTGTACAAATTGTTTATTTGTTTTTGTAATTGATTTAAAATTGAATCACTAACATTAATATCAGTTTTTTTTCAATTTTGTTTTGTTTCAATTTTGATTAAATTCTGATTTGGTCATTGCCATTTCGACGAATTGGTATTCGGCCTCAATTATCTCATGATAATGATAATGATCATAATCGCTAATCAGCATAAACAGTTTATCAACATAATTTGATTATGATGATTAAGTGATGTGATAACTTGTTGATTTTTTCTTTTCTTCATTAGTTGATGTATATCAATTTTTTTTCCAAAAAAAAAGATGAAATATCTGGCTTTTGAACCTAGTCATTTTATGTTTCGTTTATCAATTGTCCTGTATTGAATTACAAAATTTCTTAATTATCTGGATTTTTCTTTTGTTGACAGAAGTAGGAAAAAAAGTCACGAACAGAGCCATATACAATTTCGAAATTCTTTCCAAATCAATCCTTCGAATGTGAAACAAAAAAAATTTTTCGAGTTTCAACAGCAAACAAAATTTATATCTTATATTTAATTTCCGTTTTATAATATCATTTGATTTGTGTTTGTGTCTTTGTGCAATATATTTGTTTCATCATCATCATCATCATCATCATTATTACGTCAATCATAAATCGAATAAACAACGGCCAACAAAATCACATCTAAATTGAAAGAGGACAAAAAAATTCAAGATATTTCATTCATTCATATCTTATATTTGGCTCTCTTTTTTTTCTGCCAGCCAGAGTTTGGCGAAAAATTGATCATCATCGAAAATTTATCCGAAACTAAGCAATTAGAACAATATTCAACTATTATATCATTGAAATAAATCATTTTTCATGCTAAAATCGATTTCTTTTCAAGAAAAGATTTGATTCGCTGTTTTGCACACAGTCAAAAAAAAAGTTTCAAATGGAAGTTTTTGTCAGTTTGTCTGTAACCCTTTATTTCAAATTTTTTTTTTCGATTTTTCCATCTTGACATTCGATTCGAACAGTTATTTTAGTTGTTAATTCGCCAATACATTTTGTTTTCCAAATCCCGTTGTCATCGTATTTTTGTCTTCTTCTTCTTCTTCAAAAAGATATCGATGATGAATAATGAATGAATGAATGAATCAGAAAAACAATCTAATGATTATCATCATTGTTATTATTATTATTATTATTGTTTGAGTATAATTTTCTATCGATTTTACTCTCACTATAACAAACGATTTTGACTTCAATTCGAATACATGTATAGAGCCTACGTCAGTCATCAATTTCTTATCATTTTTCATTCATTGAAACGAACTATAGCGAAAAAAAACAAACTTATTTTTGGGTTGTGAAAAAAAAGAAATAATCAAGTGATACTTCAACTTTTTTTTTTGGATATGTGCTGCTCATTCGTTCAATGAATTGATTGAACAAAGATTGTTATTTTTTTCAGAAATAAATTCAATACGGTTCAATAATTTTTAAATAATGTCTATGCATGTTTGTAACAGTATACAAAATGAATAAATTACTTGGAACAGTCGAATTATTATCAATTTGCTATTTTCAAATCTAGATATTTTTTTTTCTCATTCTCATGTCATTTTTTTGAAAAAAATCTTTATTGAAGTGAAAAAATTATTGATTTTTATTTTTTTTTATCACATTTTTTTCCAGTTCAATTTTCTTCCAATTCTGGCCAATTGAATTCTCATCGATCATCAAATTTTTTTCTGCAAAATCTTATGTCAACCATTTTTTCATCTATATTTCATCATGATACTTTGAATATTCAGTGTATATTTAATCAAATATTTTAAATGATGAATTCAATGGCGACACCTGTATTTACATCATTATCATCATCACCATCAATGATGTCTCCATTGACAAATTATTCAAATCAATTGTCTTTCATTGTGAATACAACGGCAGCCATTTTGCCATCATCAACAATTTTAAATAATCCAAAACATGACAATCATCCATTATTGCAGCAACATTATTATTCACATTTACAAGCATCATCATCACCATCTGATAATGAGCTAACAGATAATTCGAACATATCGAATCTAAATTCATTATTTCAATCAACGACGATCATATCGCCATCATCATCATCATCATTGTTAACATCAATTACAAATCAATCAGTTAATCATCAAAATCCATATATATTCTATTGTCAAGATGGTCTTATACTGCCATGTTGGCATTCTGATGGCACCCAACAAACAATGGTGTTACATGGATTTGTGTATTTATTTGCATTGATTTATATGTTTGTCGGTGTGGCCATTATTGCCGATCGTTTTATGTCATCAATTGAACAGATTACCAGCCAAGAACGTGATATTATTGTAAGACGACCGGATGGCCGTAAAGAAATTGTATCCGTTAGGATATGGAATGAAACTGTTTCCAATCTTACGTTAATGGCCTTAGGATCTTCAGCACCAGAAATTTTACTTTCTGCAATTGAAATTTATGCACAAAATTTTGAAGCTGGTGAATTGGGACCCGGTACTATTGTTGGATCGGCTGCATTCAATATGTTTGTTATTATTGCAATATGTGTATGGGCTGTACCGAGTCCAAATGTTAAAAAAATTAAATACCTCCGTGTGTTCATCATTACAATGTTATTCTCTGTATTTGCTTATGTTTGGTTATTGATCATATTAGTATGGTCATCTCCGGGTGTTATTGAAATCTGGGAAGGATTAACGACATTATTTTTCTTCTATCTGACTGTACAATTAGCTTATATTGCCGATAAACGTTTATTAATTTATAAATATCTTGATAAACATTATCGTTTCCGACGTAATCGCCTATATGAATCACCACAATCGAAGCCACCGACAAAAATGCAAACATCAAGTTCTACCACCAACGAAGACGGTACAGGAGAAGAAAAAATGGAATTGAACAATGTTAATGGTCAAATTAAAGATCAAATTGATCAACAACAATCTTCACAGCCTCAATCCATAATAGATCCGTTGCCTGTTAAAGATCAATCAAATTCCGCTCAACAAACACAAGATAATCCCATCGAAATGCTCAACAAAAATGTCAAGGTTTGTAATAATAACGAATTTGATTGATTTTCTCATTTCCGTTTTTTTTATATACATTGTTTTCAAAACTGTAGTATATTGATGCCAGTGAAGAGGATTTAAGATTGATCGAAGATCATCGCGAAAACGTGATCGAAATTTTGAAAGATGTTTATTCACGCCATCCTAATGCAACATTAGAAGAGCTCGAAGCAATTGGTCGTGCTGAAATTCTAAAACTTCAGCCAAAAAGCCGTGCTTATTATCGAATGATTGCCGCACGGCGAATGCTTGGCTCAAGTACTGATTTACCTAATGATTCATATAGTTCTCGTGATTCTCTTTCGATTCAAGCTCCACCTACACCATCGGCAAAAAACAATAAACACCAGGATGATTTGGAAATGATTTCCTCCAGTGATGTTCAAGAAAAATTTATGATTCACGTAAAATTTGATCCAAAAGAATATACAGTGATGGAAGATGTTGGACAAATGTCATTGACTGTTCGTCGTCTTGGTCCGGATCTTGATTCATCCATTATTGTTCATTATCGAACAGAAGATGGTACGGCTAAAGCGGGTACTGATTATGAACCGGCTTCTGGATCGATAATTTTTGGACCTGGAGAATCATATAAACAAATAGCATTGACTATTATTAATGATGATGAATTTGAAGAAGATGAACATTTTTATGTACGATTGTTTGATGCTAAATATGCATCCGTGGCTATGGATTCGGAAGAGAATCAAAAACCAATCATTAACATTGAAGATGATCGTGCTCGTATCAATATATTAGATGATGATCATTCGGGTGTATTTTCATTTGTTAACAATGTCTTCCAAATACCTGAAACCATTGGTGTTTATCGTTTAGATGTAATTCGATATTGTGGTGCGCGAGGTACGGTCGCAGTACCTTATAAAACTATTCCGGCAACAGCTAAACCAGGCGAAGATTTTGAAATGAGCGAAGGACATATAATATTTCATAATAATGAAACAAGAAAACATATTAATCTTTCCATAATTAACAATGTAAATTATGAAAAGAATTCCATATTCTATGTCGAACTTTATGAACCACATCGTCGAGATGTTGGTGATGAATTGGATGAACGAGGTGCTCCACGTTTGGGTGACCTAACAAAATGTATGATTCGCATACGTGAATCTAAAGAGTTCAAGCAAATTGTAGACAGTTTGATGCGGCGAAAGAAAACATTAGGCTATGCTGATCGTGCTGGATCATGGGAAAATCAGATTATAACGGCGGTCAAGATGCATAAATTAAGTGCTTCTTCATCATTGAGTGAAGATGTTGAATGTTCAAAACGAGAAACATTGGACGGATCAAAAGATGAAGAGATAGATGCCGGTGAACGAACCTGTTGCGATTATTTTATCCATTACGCCACATTTTTCTGGAAAATTGCTTTTGCTTTTGTACCACCAGCGACCATCTGGAATGGCTGGGCCTGTTTCCTTGTATCGATTTCAATGATTGGCGTATTGACTGCATTGATCAATGATTTGGCATCACATTTTGGGGCTACTGTTCATCTAAAAGATTCAGTCACAGCTATATCATTGGTTGCATTAGGCACATCCGTACCGGATACATTTGCATCTAAAATTGCAGCTGAAAATGAAAAAAATGCTGATTCGTCTGTCGGAAATGTCACCGGAAGTAATGCTGTAAATGTTTTTCTTGGTATTGGTGTCGCATGGACAATGGCGGCCATTTATCATGCTATAAAAGGTACACCAGGAGGATTTCAAGTGGAACCGGGAAGTCTTGGATTTTCAGTACTTTTATATTGTATTTGTGCCTTTATCTGTGCAGCTGTATTGATGATACGACGTGCATACTTGGGTGGTGAACTTGGTGGACCAACCATACCGAAAATCACGACGGTTAGTTTTTTCGTATTCTTATGGTTATTCTATCTTGTTATGTCTACACTCGAAGCTTATGGATATATCCAAGGTTTCTGATCCACACACACGCACACACACATAAAAATTCCTCAATATTTCACACATCATACTCAAATTCGAATTAATCATCCATTCCGCCATTTTTTGTTGTTTTTATTAATCTTTTTATCGAAAAAAAAATTTATCAAACAAAGAAATTGTTTTTCAATATGATCGAGTCCATTGTCGAATTTAAGTACAAGTTACAAAATTGTAATATGAAAAATATATTTTTTTAAATAAACTTTATCCGAAATCTTTACGGAAAGTTCTAATGCAAAAGAAAATAAAAGTTTCCGATCAATTGATCTCATATGCATGCGAGTATTTTTCTTGCCCATTTATGAATTTTTGGCATTTAAATATTTGATTCAATCGAAATGTCTTCATTGAAATTGTTGTGCCAACGATCATCTATTTTCCATAATCAAATCATTGTGCCGTTGATTTTTAATCAAGATAAACGGTTGATTAGTGTTCAGGAATGGCGAAAAAAATATAATCGACCGAAAAATCGTTTGGATTTCATGCCCGAATGGAGCTATTTAGATGGGCGAGGATATGGGCCACCATCCGCGGTTCAAAAGAAACGTTATATTCGTGATCAGGTTCTTGGACAAACAGTGGTTGAAAGATTGATAGAACTTCAAGAAGCAAAAAAGTTTTGAAAATTACAATTTTTATCCTTCATTTATAATTTTGTTATTAACAAATTGTTACTTTTTAAACATTTTTTGGTGCGTCAATATATATTCTTAAGACGCTCCATATTGCTGTAGAAATGTTGTTGAAACTTAAAAAATATCATAATAAAAAAAATCATTTTTCACGATTTTTGAGGAAACGATGGCATCACGCTTGGATCACAGGCTAGCAAATGAAAAAAACGATCATATAAATTTTAACAAGAATTTTTTCATTATGCAATAAATACTTACGCAATGGAGATTCACGAAAATAAGAGCTTTGTAAGCATTCATCAGCGGTGGCTCGTTTGCATGGATCGTACATCAATAGTAAATTTAACAAACGAATACCGGCTTTTGATACGCATGAAAATATATGTGATATATTATTGAATGGTTGATGTTTAACGGTGAATGATTTTGCAATAGGTAAATCATTAAACCCTGGCCATATTCTATCATTTGGCGTGCCTATTAAATTTATGATCAAATCAATTTGTTGTATTTCACTTTGTCCAGGTAGTAATGGTTTCTGTAACAATAGTTCACCAAAAATACAACCCGCTGCCCACATATCAATAGCTGTCGAATGATAATTCGAATGGAATAACAATTCAGGTGCTCGATACCATAATGTTACTACACAGGGTGACATTGGATCGCCTGGACATCCATAATTTCTAGCAAGACCAAAATCAGCGATTTTCAATAATCCTTTGTCAGTCAACAACAAATTTGATACTTTCAAATCACGATGAATAATAAAGTTTTTATGCAAATATTTTAAACCACAAAAAAGTTGTTGCATTAGACATTTGATCTGTTTGACAAAAGAAACATTTAGCCCACTGTTTTGGCTGCATAATTGATTACCTGTGATTCGGTGAAATGAATTTTGCAATCGATCAATGTTGCCAGATCTTGTTCACAATATTCCATTACCAAAAATACATTATCAAGAGATTTACCCACAACTACATCTTTGAATTCTACAATATTTGGATGACGAACCGTTCGCAGAATGTTTATCTCACGAACACTGCTAATAGGAAATCCATCTTTTAGTTTTTCAATCTTTATTCTTTTCAAAGCCAGTATTTCATTTGTTTTAATATTTCTGGCTTTGTAAACAACTCCATATGTTCCTTGTCCAATTTTATTCAATTTTTCATAATCACCAACATGAACACATGAACCAAACTAAAAAAAGAATATTTAAAATTGTAAAAAAATTCCACTATCAATACTTTCAATATACCAGATGACTTTTAGGAATTTTAACTGGAGAAAGATCTTCAAATGAATAAATGGTATTATCTGTTATTGTCGTCATGATAAAAATCTGATATGTGTTTGACAATAAAAATAAAAATAAAAATAAGAATTTTAAGAAATAAGAATCAAAAGCGACATCTTTATTCAAATTTAGAAAATAGATTACAACAAAATGGAAAAATTTAGAATTAGTTTAATTAAAAAGACCAGATCCATAAATTATGGATAATTTATTCTAAATCTTCGATGCGCACAGGATGAGGTAATGGGATTATCGATTGTTTAAGCTTATCACGAGATAAAGCTTTTCTCATGTCTATATATATGCGTTGGATTGAAAAAGGGAAAAAATATTTCATTAATTAAATTTAATGATGATAGAAATCGATGATTTACCATAAGCATCTTCATCTGGATCTCCGGTGTAATATTCCAATACCTGACGATATACGCTATAGCCAAGTTTTTTATACATATCGATAGCAACCTTATTCGAAATTCTAACAAACAGATCAACAAAATAGGCATTTTTTCTGTTCGAAAAATATTCATTAAACAAAACTTTTATAGAAAATTAATTAGGTGAATTAAGAAGAATAACCTTTCAGACGTCAACTCTAGACAATACATAAGCTTAGCGGCTAGATTCAATCGACGATATTGCGGTGCAACAGTTAAAGCGGTCACATGTCCATGCCAATTATTACCGGTGCCTTCAATTTTGCCCATAACTTGATCAAAATATGATTGTAATAAGTGTACATTTTGACGATGACAAAAAACTTACTGTATCCCATGATTTCACCATTGGGTGATTCCGCTATATGAAAATATTCGGGCCAATGAGTTAAATATTGTAGATAAAATGATAGGCCATAGGTTTCAGTGAATGGATCTAAGTTTCTACACAAAAAAAAATTATCAAAGATTAGGTTTGTTTCATTTTTTTCGATACGAACACATTATTAATTCGAAATAAATCGTCTAATTTAAAGGGCCGAAGATTCGTCATTATTCTTAGTCTCAAGAATTTCCTTTTATTCTCCGATACTATTCACGTCTAATGTTTTGAATGTTTTTCGTGATAGACTCATGAAGCTCTCAAATCTATTCGTTAATCGTTGAAACAAAAGATGGCGCCGAAACGAACCTTTTAAATCATTAAAAAACTTTTTTAATCATAAGCATTTTAATAAAAATTTTAAATAAAATTTATTTATTCGTCTTTTTCAGACTCGAATACATCAGGCAAATATAAAAAAATAAAATAAAATAAAATGATGATTTCAAAATAATTAGATCATTTAGAATTGTAGATAAATTTTCCGCTTGGGTGGGCAATGATAACCTGGATGTAATGAAAAAGAAAAAGAAAACTGAATATCACAAATCAAATTTAACAAATAATTTTACCTTCAATTCAAATTTGTCTGTTACAACCATTTCTATATCAAGTACGATAAAACTTTCAATAGTCTGTATTAGATTTGAGCTGCTGTCTGTCAAGTTTTCAGAATCAGTATCAGGCGTCGATTGTGTTTCGACTGATTTCCATTTCAATTTTAATTCACGTTTACTATTGTCACGAATAAATTCATAATCATCAATATATAGTTGATCCAAATAAATACGATTGATTGTATCAAATGTAAGGGTTAAAACATCAAATGAATGATCATAAACTTGAAAAACGATTGCTTTTGATGTAAGTGATCCAATTTTTGATATGTATGCCTTAAGGTAGATTTCCGTACTTTTCTCTGAAGCTAACATGGCATTATACTTTTTTGTATTACAATTCTCCGCTATTTTTTTCAATTCTTCATTCGTTTTTGAACAAATACTTGATTCGTATCCAAGAGCCATGGATAGTAAACGATGAACCATAATATCGGCATATCGACGTATCGGTGATGTGAAATGTGTATATTTGGAAAAATTCAAGGCAAAATGACGATATGACAATGGATTGTCCTGATCGCTTACACAGATATACATGGCCAGTTTCATGGCTTTTATTAGGAACATTGTTGACATTCGGCAAAAATTACTATCGATTGCGGCCAATTTTTCCAATGATTCGACCATTGATCGTGAACATTCACTTTTGAACTCAATGGGACAAATACCTTTGATTGATTTCAAGAATTCACGGAGTAAAAATTTATCCAATGGTGGATGCCAGCGCAAAAAAGCTCTACCTTCAGGAGCAAATTTGTCATAAAGAAATTCAGCCACACATTTGTTGGCTATAAGCATCAATTCTTCGATAAGCCAATTAGATTCGCGAAGCTGATATTTGGACAATGCCAATGGCATACCTTCTTCATTTAGCAAAAAGGTGACTTTAGTTTTATCCAATCGAATGGAACCGTTCTCTTGACGTTTTTTTCGAAGCGTTTTGGCTATAGTTTGTAAACGACGAACACGTTGCCAGATATCGGATAAAGACCATTCATCATGAATGTGAGGAAAAATAGACTGGTCTAATTGGCTATCATCATCACATTCAATAAGTTTTTGAGCGAATTCATAAGTCAGCTTACAACATGAATTAATAACTGTACGACCAAACCATCGATCGACAACCTCTCCATCTCCATTCACAGTGATGATAGCCGAAAATGTAAGTTTATCATGACCAGGATTTAATGAACATAAATCTTGACAAAATATGTGTGGCAACATTGGTATCACTTTGGAAACGAGATAAACCGAAGTTGCTCGATCACTAGCGATACGATCTAACAATGTATTCTCTTTGATAAAATATGATACATCAGCAATGTGAATGCCAATCTCAAATCGATCATCGGACAATTGTCGATAAGAAATAGCATCATCAAGATCACGAGCCGTTTCAGGATCAATAGTGAATATGCACTCTTTGCGAAGATCTTTCCGTTGATTGATTTCTCCTTCAGGGATTAACCAATCTTTATCAGGAAATTTATCCTGATATTCTGCTAATGCTTCCTCTGGAAAATCATCTTTGTTGATACTCAAGGATATGAGCATGATTTCTGTTTCAACATCAACGTCACCCATTTCACCAAAATTTTTAATGATTTTGCCTAATGGATAGAGACTATCTGATTTCCAATCAGTAATTTCAGCCAAAAATAAATGATTTTTATATTTCCAATAGTCTTTTTGTATGATTTCAGGTAATGTTTGCATTGGTATTATTATTTGAGGATTTCGTATATCACATGATGTGAATTTTACGTATTTGTTGTCATTTTCCATCTTTTTCTTTTGATTTGCGTTTTTATTGTTTTCGTTGTTTTCCTCAAATTTCAATGATCCAGCAAACATTCTTGGATGATTTTGCTTTACAATTCCAACCACTTTTGCTGTACGTTGAATAAATCGTGACCAATATGGTATCTGTTTTTTTAAATCGGAAATTTTTAACGTGAAAATTTGTAACGGAAGATTTTCGAATTCATCCATCAATAGCTGTTTTGATGTTTCGATTGTTACTGGTGATGATGTGGATTTCGAACCCATGCTAATTAAACCCATATCTTTTGAATTGAGTTTTAATTTATTGAGATCGATTTCATCATCATTTGCCTCAATAAGTCGTGTAAAATCATCTTTCCATTCTTCCCAATTCGCGTTGATTGCTGTATAGGAAATCTATCAAAATCAAAAAAAAAATCATAAACTAACGAGGAAAATTTCAGACAAGTTGATTTTACCTTCCATTCGGTTTCATTCAGGAACTTCACAGCAACCAAATCGCCATTTAATGCTTTGTTTCGATAGATCAAGCCTTTAATGTAGATGTCTAGGCCCTCGTCCTATAAGTGAAATCGTATTAAGATAAAATTTAAGAAAAATTTGAATAAAGATACAAAAATGTAGTTGGACAATTAGAAAATACCAGATATTACCGGAGCACTGATATAGGCATCGTTATAATTTCTTTGATTGATCCGCAATATTCCCTGCATTTGAGATAATAATTAGAAATCAATTACAACTTATTCGGGCTTATTTACCTCAACGATTTCCCCTTTTTGTAAACCTTTTTGCATTTCACATAGTGGTAGATATTCCTCAAAGTTGGTCATACGTTTTTTTCTTTAGATGAAAGGAAAAAATTTAAAATTTTTTTAAAATTCAATTAAATCATTTACCGAGAACTATTTTTTGATGTATTTGTCATCATAGTAGATGTTGTTGCAGCCGTTGTTGTCGAAGATGACATGATTGAATTTGTACTTTCGTCTTCAGGAGTTACTTTAGGTGTTGAAGATCCGGGCGTCGATGGCAATGATCTAACAAATTCTTTTGGTCTGTAAAAAAAATTATCAATTTTTAGATGATTATTAATATGATAAACAATTTAATTAGTCAATAAGCACTACATGATGCAACATTTCCAACACAAAGAGCCACAATAATTGAGCAAAGTGTGTTTTGCCTCACTCTCTCTCTCTCTCTCTCTCTCTCCCACTTTTGACAACACACAACAAGCATACATTCGATTCTGTTTCTGTATTGCACTATTTATTCAGTTCTCTTACTATTGAAGCGAACAATATTTGACGAGAATCTCACCTGTATTTATGTTGACAATATCGTACAGCTTGTTGTTGTTGTTGTTGACAATAATGACGTTGTGGATGATTAAGACGATTATGTAGATTTTGATGAATTCTTACATGTTCAGGTAAATCCATTATTCTTAGATTATTTAGGTTTGTAATCAACCTTTGTGACTGTTGATGATGTTGATAATGATGATGATGATGATGGTAACCAATATTCCATCCGAATAGATTATTTATTGCCAATACATTTGTACAGTTTCGGCTATTGGTGGCCATATCTGAATGATTATTACCATTATAAACAGGTATCTTACTACGTCCATTATTATCGTTAGTAATTATCGAACTGTCACCAGAATTACCTCGTTTTAGGCCATTTGTATTCTTTATTCTATTTTTATGATTAATAGTGGAATTCTTATTTTTATGAATATCTGACATTAATGATGATGATGATGATGATGTTAGACATTCAATTTGGTCATTATGGTTTGGCATCTGTATTTATTTGCAAAAAAGAAATTCAATCACAGATAATAATTTGTACATTTGTCGGGATCGTCGTTTATTTATTGAATTTATTTATATTTAGAAAAATAAGTAAAATTTTCTGTTTTTTTAGTTCGATTAATCGAACTTTTAATTTTACATAACAATTGCATAGCCAACTAATAACTCCGGATGATGAAAAAGGATGCTGCCAAAATTTTCAACCTAAGAAAATCAATTTTTGGATCAATCAACTAAAGGATGACTCATACACGATGAGGACGACGGGAAAAAAATTCGATTCGAGCATGCTTACTAAAGTTGACCATTTTTTTTTTTTTTTTATTTGATATTTATTCGCAGTCGCAGATTCATAAATGCGTTCGGGAATACCCATCAGAAAACGGGATGAGATAAGTTGTTTATCCACACAGTATAGTTCCTATGTTATTCAATCGAAAATTCCCTAATCATCAATNAAAAGGATGACTCATACACGATGGGGACGACGGGAAAAAAATTCGATTCGAGCATGCTTACTAAAGTTGGCCATTTTTTTTTTTTTTTTGATTTGATATTTATTCGCAGTCGCAGATTCATAAATGCGTTCGGGAATACCCATCAGAAAACGGGATGAGATAAGTTGTTTATCCACACACTATAATTCCTATGTTATTCAATCGAAAATTCCCTAATCATCAATTATCATCCTTTTTATTGGTTATTATCTGTTGTTTTATTCTCCAATAAAGTTACAATTTCAAAAATAATTTGCGGAAATATTTTCATTGATCTTGGATCCTTTTTTTCAAAATCTATTTTTATGATTTGGAGACAATTACTGCTCTCATGAAATCATTTAAACAGTGGACCGATCGGTATAGATTGGCTAGTTATCTAAGACTAAGAAGGCGGTGGTAAACAAAACGATGGCCAGCCAAATCAAGTCAACGATAAAATCACCGTGGTGGCGTGCTTAACATAAATACACGATACACACAGCCACAATAATCACATTTGCGAAGCATGTATAAATGTAAACGTGCGTGGCTCGATCCTCGTTGGTTAGCGACGACGGCTGTGGCTGTTGGCGATAATGATGATGGCGTGCCGTTTTTTTATATTTTCTTCTGTCAACGAAGTTAGCGGTTGCCTCCAAATCTATCTGCCATCATCTATTCGCCAATGCTGTTAATTTTTTTTTTTAGTTCGCGACAATACGTCACTGGCCGAAAAGTATCAGTCAATCGAATAACGAACTCATACCATAAACCGTGAATACGTTTTTAACATATTTTTATCCATCAATCAATATCATCATCACCATCATCATTGTCGTTGTAACTATAAAAGTACTAATTGGTCATACACAAAAACATTAATAACATCGTAATCAACATAACTGTTTGGTTCTAGTTTTTTTTTCATTTAATGATCAATTTCTTTTTTTCGATTGTTATATATTGCAAATTTAATTATAGATAATCCATTATGATGCAATTGATTAATGACCCATTTCGATCAACATTAAATGTTCGATCATTAATTTGTGACAATAACGGTATCATTATTGCCGAAACTGTTTACCGTTGTATGTTTTGTGCAAAAATTGTTGACACAATGGATCAAATTCAATTACATTATCATTGTGAACATTATGAAGAGGAAATACCATTAAAAGAAGTCAATAATCAACGACAGAAAAGAAAAAAAACAAGAAAAATTATCGATTATGATCAAGATGATTATGATTATCCTGTAGAGAAGATTTTTGATGATGTTGTTGATGATACAATTGTTAATCAAGATTTCAATCAAATTGAAGATTATTTTGAAGATAATTCACATCTTATGTCTATACAATTCCATGAGAATCATGATGCTGATGAAAGTATGTGGTTTTAGTAATTAGTAAACAAAACTTATAAATATAAGATTCTTTTCAATCATAGGTTTTGTTTCGTCTTTAACACAATCGGCTAAATCTTCACCAATACAATCATCGATGCCCAATCAAAATCCCAAAGGTGGAACCGTTACATGTGAAGTTTGTGGACTAACTAAATATTATTCTCATATATCTCGTCGTTATGGTGTGTTTAGCTGTGAAAGTTGTGCTAAATTTTTCTATCGTTATAGTCAAAAACCTGTGCAATATAAATGCTTGTATAATGGAAATTGTTCATTGAAAATTGATTCGCCTGGTGCTCGATGTAAATCTTGTCTACTCAATGCTTGTCTAAAAAAATATATATTGGATCCGAAAAAACATGCCAATATATATCATAAACATTTCAATACTGATGCTTCCGAAATTCTTATGATGGACGATATCAACAATAATAACCCTATTACCTCAGAAGATCAAATTCACATGGATGAAACTTTAAACACAGGTGCATCATTGAATGAAAGTATTGTGCCAAAATCCATAAAAACTAATCAAGAAATTAAACATTCTCGAACAACGGATTCTGGTGTAAAAAAATCCAAATCCAAATTGAATCTATCAAAGAAAAAATCTAATTCTTCATCGAAAGATGACAATTCGCCTGGAATGAATTCGAAATTCCGTCGTATGGCTTGTCGTGTTTGTGAAGGTTGTTTACAAGATGATTGTGGTACATGTTTATATTGTCTGGATAAACCTAAATTCGGTGGCAATGATATTAAGAAACAAAAATGCCTTAAACGTCGATGCCTTTTTCTTAAACAATAATCATTATCAAAATAGTCTCTTTGTTTGTGAAATCCAAAGCCAATGCAATGTGCCTGTATAAAAATTTGTTTTGAATATTTTGAAGCAATAAATTGTTAAAATTCCATTTCTTGTGCTTTTTTTCTTTGCCTTGTTCATTTTATTTCTTTTGAAAAATCCACTGTAAAAAATGGGAGTGGTGAATGCAATAATCCAACCAATAGATGGCAGTTAACGATGATAATAATGAAATAATGTCGAATATCTCAAATTATGGCAGATGATGTTTTTGGTGATTCCGATGGCGATGATGAATTAGCTTTGGCATCTAAAGAATTTGAGAGAGATTTAGAACGTATTGAAAATGTAAGTTATTGATTGTAAAGTGATTCTGTTCTATTTCTAAATCTTTTTATAGGCGGCATTCCATGATGCTTTTGAAGAAACGCGAGACAAATTGACACAACAATCATTTGATGCTGGATATGAGATTGCTTTTGAATATTTCGAAAAGATTGGACAACTAGAAGGATTCAATGATGTTTTGATCTATAAGATACAACAAGATGAAGCTCATGAACAAATCAAATCTCAAATTTCAGAATTGTATATGCGACTAGATCGAGAATTGGAACAGCAGATGAAATCAAATGTTGAGCAAAAATTGTATGAAATATCTGAAGCAAAGATGACAAACATCAAGCCAAGTAATGAATTTATCAATGAATTCAATCAGATTAAAGCCAAAATCATTGAATGTGCAAGATTGGCTAATTCTGATTTCGCTCAAAAATTCATTGAAGAAATCAATAAAATAAATTTTTAAAATGATTTTTATTTATTATTACATTGTTCTATTTGTTAAAATGAAAAAACAATACATTTAATTAATAATCTGAACGTTTAGACATCCACCGAGCCAACATGATTCCAAATCGATGTTGATTGCAATAGTGATTTTGATAGAGAAACCAATGGACACCTATGCCGGCCAAAACTGCACCCAAAAATATTCTACGTCCAACTGGTGAATTGGTGAAATTATTTTTGTCCGGATATTGCCGAAAATCTGCCATTATTCGTTGCGATAGTTGATTAACAATTTAGTTGGCAAAACTTAAAGGTTACACTCATCGAAAGACAATCGAACAGCTGTAAAATCAAATCCTGCCATCTGGTAATTCATGATTTAATTATTAAGTAAATATTGACCACAATTTTTATTCACACATGGAAATCAACGATAAAAATCCGGTCTTTTTTGAAACGGTTGTTCCATTTGTCGACATCGTTTCAGATGGTTTGATTGATACAGAACAATTTCTTGAAGCTTCGAAATGCATAGTCAAATTTGTCGACATGTTTGGCATTGCTTTTAAACCAGTCAAAAATGATATAGATGGCAACATTAATAAGCTAATGAACATATTTGATAAGGATAGATCCATGTTTAAGGTGAGATCATATGATGAAATATTATTTCATTCGTTTCTGAATAGTATGAAATTTTAGCATTTGAATTCGATAGTGAAATTTGAGAAAGAAACTCTTAAAGATGAAGATCTACATGTTGGCACGGATGCATTGACATGGCTGAATCGCGCACTGATTTACAATCAAATTTTCCTTTCATTATTTTTAGAGGATTACAAACAAGCTGACGATGGTGAAAGCTTACAAAACTTATCCGAAGATCTGACTAAACATTTTGATTCAGCTTATGAGCTAACATTGAAGAAATACCATGGATGGTTAGTAAGAAAGATATTCAGCTGCTGTCTTATGGCCATCCCGAATAGAACCGATCTTCTGAAATATCTTGGATATCTAAATTTGAACTTGTCATCGATCGAGTTACGACAAGTTATCATCAAATCTATTGATAATTATCTCAAACATTTAAAATTAAACACTGAAGCCGTTTCTATATTATTATTGGCTCACGGATTTCAACCTTGATCATTTAGACACTGTTAATTAATTGTTTTATTTAATTATATTTAAAAAGATATTTTATTCTACAATTATTACACTAGAATATTTTTAAATTTAATCTTGTTCTTTCAATATTTCATCATTATCATTTGTTTTGTTCATGTAATAATCTCGACTGACTTGACTGAGAAGAATATTATGTAGTAAATTATTTCTTTTTAAATCATGATTCAATAATGGCGGATACGGATTGCCTTTCAATTCGATCAACACTCTTTGATTAACGTATGATCGTTGTTTATAATCTGACCAATCGAAATCACGATTCGAAAGCAGATACATCGATGTAAATGATGTGGTATAGTTCATGAAACGTGGTACCAAAACTTTGAACAATTTATGAATCAAAGTTTTATCCTATATATTATAATATAAATTGTATCATTTTAGTAAACAAAATTTCAAAAATACCTGCAAATAGAAATTGGCAAGTTCCATAGTTGGTATATGACAGTCACCATAACGCATCGCTTCGGCTATCAACTGAATTAAAAAGACTAATGAAATTGAAATCAAATTTGATCGTATATGATTACCCGCTCCGTATAATTGCGAACTTCATATCCTCTGTAATAACTAAATTCGACTCGTTCTTCATCAATCAATTTATTAACAGAACGAGCAATTGAAATTAAACGCATTTGAGAGGGAAACAATCTACGTAAATGTTCAATATTACGTCCACCACGAACTTTGATGGGTTTGTCTGGAATTACGTAAGGCATTTGAGGCATAAGTTTTTCGACTTTGGTCTACAAAATCAAATCATTATATTAACATTAGAACAACAATCAATGGACGTACCGTTGGAAAACGTATTCTTCGCCATTTTGCTAATAACAAATGATTGGAAACAAATGATAGCGTAAAAAAACTGAATGATCAAATCAATTATCTTACCAATGACTAAACGAGGCATTATTTTTGTGATTTAGAATAATAAAATTCCAAAATTATCCAACCAAATTGAAATGTGATAGAAATTGTATCGAAGCGCATGGTTATTTTCGAAAAAATTCTCGTAAGAATTTTCCCGTAAACTTTTTTTAAAATAATTTTTTTGAAATTTTCAATATCAAAAATAAACTCAATTTATAATGAAATTTAAAAAAGATAAACATTTATTTATTAAAAAATAAAATTATGAAGATGATGATTGTTGTTTTAGATTTAGATCAGTTTCGATTTTTTGAAACATTCGTTTAATATGATTAGGTATACGTTTGGTTTTTGTTCGTTTCTTTTTACCGTCTTGTTTCACAGATTTAACATTCGGATTTGAAGATGATGCCTTATTCAAAGCAACAGTTTTTTTCTTTTTGCACGATAATGGATTAGGACCTTTCGGACCTTTGCGTTTTCGTTTGATATTGGCTGGCTTGTCCAAGGATTCAATCTTTTTTAATTTTTTCAAAGTTTGAAATTGATGGGAATCGACCTGATGAAAACGTTGTTGTGATTCGATAGCTTTATCTCTGGCTTCGGTTGCTGGTTGCTCTAAAATTATTGCATTCATTTTAATAAATAAGATTGGAACATAGGCAAGCGAACGCGTTTTTTCCGTAAGATCTTGATCTTGAGTTGCCAAAAAATAATGCTCTTCTTTCCGTTGTATCAAAGAAAACAGACATTCATTTGCTGAAATCGGATTCTTTTCGTGGCCACATTTATGGATCGGAAATTGTTTGATAACAAGCATTGTGCCATAAAGCGAGTTACCTATCAAATTAAATATAGAAATTAGTGGAAAAAAAATTCTTATAAACATGAAAAAAAAACACTAACCAAGTCGTTCTGTTTCGTTAACAACACATACAGTTGTTAATAATTTGACCTCATCATTTAAATATTTCGGAATTTGCTCTTTAAGATTGATTTTATTCTTTAAAGCAGCTTGGCAGAATGTTGCATCCAAAATAATCTGGTAAGGTGGTCGAAAATCAAAATAATTACGATAAAATAACAAATGACGTTGAGCTCGTTTGTATCGAGTTATTTTCATTTTATTAAATTTTCAAAATTTATCTGAAAAAAAACTAGCCTAATGATTCAAAATAATACCGATAATATGACAAAATTAAAAAGAATCCAAAATCAAAAAAAAAAACATTGCGATTCACGTGTGAGAATTTCAATGCAGAATATAAACTCGTCCAAATAGGACGTGTTCAAATGAAAATTTCAATTTATTTTTGCAATATTGCCGCCATATTGATATGAAAGTGACATCTTGCACTGAAATTCAATTTAAATCCGTTTCGTTTGATTAGATTAATATGATAACCAATCTGACAGATTTGATTAAAAGGAAGGAAATTATAAATGCTTAACACTTTCCTTTGAATATTTGAAAAAAAGGAGATTAAAAATCAATGAAACATTTTTTTATTCAGTTTATTTTTAAATGATTAATATCATATTGCATAAACATTCGTTTTGGTCATTGAAAATGTATGTACAGCAACAACAGGAGAACATAAATATGATGATCAAGACAGAAAAAAAGATGAAGAAAGATCAAAACTACGATTAAAATAAATTTCATGTGTGCGTATATAAACCGAAATTTGAAAAATCAGGAAAAAAAACAAACAAAAGAAAATAAAATACCATGACCTGATGGATGGAACATTATTTATAAGTACAAATCAAAATTATTGTATGTTCATGGAATCAAAAAATATGAGTAAATGGAAAAATTTGAATGGACGACAAATAAAAACCAGGAATAATATTTTGTGTGAATGATATTTACAAAAAAAAAACATTTAATAAACTGAAAAAACAATTTGTGGCACGAAAAACATAGGAATTTTTTTCTTAAATTTACAAACAAATCCCGTTTAAAGATGGAAGTCTATGTTATACAATAAAATGATGATAATAATAATAATAATTGAAATTGAAGAAGATTTAGATGAAAAAAAAGAGAGAATCGATGAGCCCGAAGACCACATAAAGGAACAAGGCAATCAAATTAGAATCACCGGCACCAGATATAACCAGAAAATCATGGCCATCGTTGGAATTATCATCATCATCATCGTCATGGATGAAACTATGAAATGATTAAACAGAAAAAAAAACGAAAAAAATAAGTAAAATTTATGAAATAATTATTAATGATGATCATCATTATTATTATTATAAATCGTGATGGTCATGATCATCTAGTTGGAAACAACAAATTGAATGATACACAGGGAAAAATGGCTAAAAAAAATAAATTGAAGAAATTCTTGGATGATTTTATTGAAAAACAGTGACTGAATCACAATATGATTTAGAAACAAAAACAAAACAAAAAATAATATTTTTTTAGAAATTAAATTAAATGACGAAACAAAACAAAAAAAAACATTCTCGATATCCTATTATATTTATTGTAAAAAATTTATTCGATCAGATTCATCGAAAATGACAATATAAAATTCGTAAGGGAAGTAAATAGAGAATGAGTTCATTTTTTTTCGTTTGCTTCACTGAATTCTTTGCCTGGTTAGTTAGTAAATAATTTCTGTTTTTTTTTCTTTTCTTTTTTTGATATATCTCCATTTGTCTTTGATTCTGTAGAAATGTGATTTACTCAAATGACCAACGACAATGATGATGATGATGATGATGAGTAAGTCCTATTAACGATTAACGATGATGATGATACCGAATAGGACAATGTCTTATTCCTTCTCTCTGTTTCTCTCTCTCTCTCTCCCTAAATCTAAGTTATCATCATTATTATTTGATGTTCTTGTGTCTGATCATTGAATAAACATAGAATGTGAACGAGGAAAAAAAACTTCTGTACATAGAAAATCGGACATACAGATGGGTAATCTGATAAAGTAAATCACACACACACACACACACGAGCAATGATTCAAAATCATACAAAGATTTCATGTCCATCAATGGGGACTGCAAATAATTCTATACGACGAACACATATGACATAAACATGTTCAATGGAACAATGCTGAAACAAATTAGACAATAATTTTTTTTCTTCTTGTCGGCTATTTGAAATGTTTAGTTGTAGTTTGTAAATCGGTGAGTAAATTTTCTAAATGAAAAAGAAATGAATGATCAAATGATTATTATTATGATTACCATTGATATTAACAGCAAAGTTTTCGGAAAAATGTAGACCCGAACTTTGTTTTGATGTACCAAGATGAATTTCATTTCTAGCATGGTAAATGTTTTTCTCCATCGATGCTAAACATTTGATACGATATTGTTTAATGTTCGATGATGTACGATCATTTTTATTGTTACTGGACAAACGATTTGACAATTGATGATGGTAATGTTTGCCACTATGCGATAATGATGATGATGATGTAGATGAACCAGAGTTTTCCATTTTCACCTTAAATTTTAGACCCATTTTAGAAGCAAATAATCCATCACTTAATGTATATATTGGATATTCGCGAATTTGAGCTGGATTGGCCTATGGAAATTTGAACAGAGAAAAAAAGCGAAAAAGAAAAAATGTCAATCAAAATGATTATTTGTAAAGTTTCCGATAAAAACAATCAATACTGGATATTTTTTAAAAAAATAGAATTCCACAAAATAAATGCGACAAAAAAAATCTAATCCAAATTCTTACATAATACGCCAATGAATTTTCAATCAGATTTAAAAATAAACAATTTAAACAACAAGATAAATTCCTATTTGACCAAACCAAACTGAGATCGTTTTTAAGCCACTGATCTTAGTTATGGATCGATGAAACAATCGATATGTACAACACGCATGCATAAATATGATGATTTTTCAAAAATTGTAATTCAATTGATATACCTTACAAACTTACTGTAACAAAATAACGAACAAAAACAAAAACAACCGTTATATGATGAAAAATGAACAAAAATTTTTTTTTAATGCTTTTCTAATGACTCTTTCATTGTGTCATTATTTCTATTATTGTTATTATTATTTGTCGTTTTAGTATTCAAAAATTCTATCTTTTCATGTAAGCTTTTTCCATTTTTTTTAATTCGTTGTCATGTATATCATCATATCATTGCTTATTCCCTTCATTTTTTTTCGGTCTGTTTTTTATCATAAAATATAGTGGATTTTGTTCAAAAACACTGGTAACTTTCAATATGATCATATACAAACGACAAACGACGACGACGATCCATACCCGAACAATAATGATGCCTGTTTTGGCAGCATCATATTCATCAAACGAACACACATACAAACACACATAGGAATAAATTCTAACATAGTCTCATCGAAATGAGAAACAAATAGAATGAAGAAAAAAAAATAAGAAAATTTGTGCAAAGCCGTATAAATTATGTTGTTGTTGTTGTTTCGTATGCGAATAAAAACATGTTTGTATATCTATCTGTCGTATAAGTATTTTGGATGGTATTCGACTATTCCATGGTACGGGATTTTCCTATTCGTACCCGATTGCATATTATATACAAGTTTGTCGTTTTTTTTCGTTGTCTGGCTTTATGTTGCCATTTGTCATCTTATTAATAGATAGATAGATACTATATAAATAATAATAACAAAACACCACCATTACCCAAAAATAGATGTGTGTGTGTGTGTTGGAAAATTAAAGGAAAAAGAAAGAAAAAATTTTAAACCTTTCGAAATGAACATGAAATATTCGATTGGATCGATTCGGCTCGAAAAGCAATCAGTTCATATATTGGATTGAAAGAAAGTTTTTTTTTATTTTAAAATCGAATAAGCTTTTTTTTTTTGTTGAATTTTTCAAATTTGTTTTCTTCATATTATAAGACATTTTTTGTTGTTGTTGTTGTTGAAAATTTGCATTGATTTGTTCCGTGTAATGAAAGGAAAATCGAAGCTTTCAATTTTCGTCTTTTTTTTTGTTAAATTTATTATAAAGAAAAACTTGTGGATTCATTTTATAATATAGCTAATTAAATTGGTTGAATGTAATACATACCTCTTCATCATTAACCATAAAACTAAGCTTTGGAGCAGGTTTTGCACGCGACATACATGTCAAATTGACAATATCACCAGGCTTATAAAATCGTTGATAAGATATTCCAGTTATGATTGGAATATCCTTGCTCATTGAATCAGTTACTGTATATGAATAAATCATTATAATATTTTTTTATTTGACATAATTAATTCACTTACTCATTTGATGAGGTGAATTTCTATATCTGTTATATAAATCTGAAGACGATGATGATGATGATGATGATGATGGATCATTGGCACCACCAATAATAACCTCTTCACTGGCCACAGTATAATGAAGAATAATATCACTTAAACAGGTTATTTTTAATAGGCCACCATGATAATGACTATTTTCTGAATAGAAAAATAATTGTGATGCTGAACCGATTAGGCCATCAGATGATGTTGGCAAAACTGACAATGATTTAACATAACGAGAATCAGCAATCTCATGATTGATATGCCATGTTAATGTTGCTGGTGGCTGAACCAGATCAAAAACAATAACAACAAAATATAGAGATAAAAAAAAATTAGAAACAGTTAAGAACCAGAAACATGAAACAAAAGAATATAAACTCTTTCAAGTAAGAGTTCAATGTTCATCATAAATTTCAATTAGAATATTAGACATTGTTGTCGTTGCTAATACAAACGTTGTCTGTCTTATAACCGTCAATAATATTAGCAGAAAAAATGTGTATCAAACACAACAAATTAAGTTAAAGCTTTCATTTTCCTGTTCCAAAATAAAGTTAATTTTAAGGGATTCATATATGAGAGAGACAGATGGGGATTTATATATTGGCCAAAGGTTTACAATTTTAAAATTCAACAGACATATTTGAACTGATGCTGTTTCAAAACAAAAAAAAATTACGTGTGTGTGTGTGTGTGTGTATGTTGCCTTTTATTTGAACCAAAAACGTATATAAACAAATGATGAAATTTTACAGGAAAAAAAACAGAATTCTGAGAAAAAAATGGGAAAATAATGAGAATATGAACTCTCCTATAACTCATAACAAGAAACACAAAATATAACACAAACAAGTTTATGAGAGTAAAAAAATAAAAACGAAAATCTCAGATCATACATTTACTAAATTTAGTAAGGTTGTTGTTGTTTTTTTCGGGAAAAAAATGTTCATACAGATCATTATTATTTCTTCATAGAATTCATGAATCATATTGTTATAGCAATAGATGATGCTTGATCCAATGTTTTTGTCGTTTGATAAGATCATTTGTTTTATGTAAATTCAATTGTAATCTGTCATATAAAGACTATAGTCAAGAAATATCGATTTATAATCGTGTATTGAATGATTATCTCATCATTAAAATTTTGTGTCTGTTTTATATTTAACTGAAATACAAACAACTTAATTAGCTCGTGGTGTATCCTGTAGGTATAAAAGGGTTCTTTTCGGTTTAAAAGACGATGAACAATTTCGATAGAAACAATAGAGTTGAAACAATAACAAAGAGAAAAAAAATATTTAACAAGCACTTACCCTGGATGGCATAGTACGACAAGTCAAATTAACTGTTTATAAAAGAAGAAGAATCGTCCGAAAGAATTTATAGAAAATAGAAAAGAAAAAGTAAGTAAAAATAATGAGAATAAACGAATGAAAAAAAAGAATAAGAAATTAAATATTCATTAAATAGATCGCTACATAAATAATAAAGTTACACAAGTGTCAAACTATTAAATAACAATACTGTGATACACACAAGTTTCTACAATTAACTGCATATAACAAACAAAAACAAAGGTCTAAAGTATTTAAGTGTGCAGAGTAAATTAATTAAACATTCGTTATGTATTGAATTTATCGGACAAAAAAAAATTGATGGATTTCAAATTAATGTGCTACAACACATACACACACGTTGTATAGATAAATCAAATTGATTGACCTGTACAAATCAGTAATTCATCGAAATTCATCGAAAAAACAAATTATAATTAAAATCAATACATTTTATTACAATTTCTTGGCTTACTAGGAAGAAAATTCTTTCTGTCTAGCTTTCAATAGAATATGAATGAAATATTTTCATCAAATGATTCTCATAAATATGAAACGAAAGTAAAAACAAAAAAAAATAAAATCATCTCTATTGAATAGTTTTCAGTTACGAATACATATTTATCACTAACAAACACTATTTGATTATGTATGACTTGAATGATTGTTTGGTTCGATTCAGTTGGTGGTTAGCCAATATTGGCATGGAAATCATCATCATCATCATTATTGCCAGTTTCACTATCAACACCATAATATCAATCAAACTTATTATCACATACAAAACATTATGAATGGATCTTCTATTATTATTATTATATTTTTTTTGCCAAAAAAAAAAAATCCCAAAGGTATTTGGTTTTGGGTTCAGAATATATTCTATCCAAATGAATTGTAGTATATCATTATTATGACTCGATTCGATTTTTCTCTGACCCTTTTTCTTTTATTACATCATCACTGGAATTTTTTGTTGTTGTTATTGTTTGTCGCAACATTGATCTAATCAGAAAGAAAAACAAGAAATTCTATCTCTATGATGGATTCTATCTCAATAATAATAATGATGACACACAAACTGAAGAAAAAGATGAAACAGAAAAATAAATTCTTAAAATTAATAAGATTTAAATTTTTAATTTTTGAAGAAGTAGAAAAAAATGTTGTTTGTATGTTTTTCTTGGATATTTTTCAAGAAAAACAATAGTTTGTTGTTCGTTCGTTGCAAAACCGAAAACAATGAGGAATAAATGAAAACAAAAAGAATTGGAAACAAAAACTTACTTAAATCTCCGGATCTATAATAGCTAGTATCGTTGTTACCATTTGTCTGGATAATTGGCTTTTCATTTGGTAGACCTGAAAATGAAATGAACAAAAAAGAAAAGAGAAATTTTTTAAAAAAATGAAAAAAACAAAAAAAGAATCGAAGATTCTAATAGAAAGACAAATAGAAAAAGAAAGTGAAACAAATGGATAAATTCTATTCATTATTGATGGTAGGTAGAAATCAACACACCAAACACAAAAAGTCATCAGATGAGCCGTTTTATTTCGTATAACTTCTGTGTGTTTTTGTAGAAATGTTTTTTTTTTAAAAAAGTAATATTATAAAAATCTATATTTAGTATATTATATTTGTTGTTATAATTTGTTGAAATGGAAAAAAAAAGGATCTTCATCATTATCCTGAATGATGATAAAGATAATGATGAGTGTTGTGTGGGTAGTGTGTATACACATAGTGGTAAAAAACTAATGATCCAAAACACGCAACATTGTTTTTTTTTGTTATGTTTTTATTTTTTACTTTATCTCTTGAAAGCTTGTCTATTTAATTAATGCCTATTTAATTATGATTCTATTCTATATTTGAATGAAGTAGATGAAATTCAATTCTAATAATTGGCTGTTGTCGATTTTTTTGTTAAATGTTTTATTTTGGCTGGTTTTGTTCGATTCCACAATGATGATTATGATGGTTAATGATGAATGTTTTTTTTTTGTTTTGGTTTGGGGGTGGTGGTTTCTTTTTATTTGGTGATGGACGAATGGGTTCGGAATTGAAATATTGAAATTCATTCATTTTTTTCTGGTACGTGTAACGTTGAAATTTTTTTTTTTCAATTGACTATCTTGGTTACAGAAAAATCCTCTATCTAGCTAAAAGTATGTTTTTTTTCGGTTCCAAACCCCGTTGAAATCAAGAAAAAATATCATCCGACAAAAACTAACTTTATAAATTTTTATTTTCCTATAGACAATTTGTCGATTTAGGTTGATGTTACTTTAATGGAAAAAAAAGTATGAAGAAAATTGCCCGAAGTCATATAGAGGAAAAATATTGAGAAAAAATCGAATAACAAAAAAACAAGAATATATCTTAAACGGTATTTGTACCATGATAATAATGTTGGGTAACAATTACAACTATAGTTTTTTTCCCGGGTTTTATTATTATTATTATTTTTTTGTTGAACGAGATTCTATAGACAAATATTTGCAAACAGAAATATTTCTATTTATGTTTTTTCGACATTTTGATAATACAATTGAATGGTTGTTTATTCATATTTTTACTAATAAGAACGAATTCTATTTGATTATTATTTTTAATTGTTTACAATAGATAAGAATCCCCAAAAAAAAAACAAAATACGACCACAAGTTCAACATCAAAACAATCCAAATATAAATCATGAAATGCTGAAAACTACTTAGAAACAGTGTGTGAGAGAGAGAATTCTTGAAATAAATCCATAATGAACTATAGAATTTATCGTTGATCTTTATCGTAAAGAATAATAATAATGGTGAGAACAACAACAACAACAAGAAGATATCATCATTTAGCTAATAAATAACGTTAGAAAAAATCATCATCATAATGATGAATCCAAAAGTCATTTGTATATTTGCATAGACATAAAATTTGCTAAAAGTTTTTCTTTTAAAAAATGAATGAATAAATAAATTTTTATCCTACACTATGTCTAAGTGATGATGAAGATCTAGAAGTTTTTTCTTCGTATTTTTCTTTTTTTTTTTGGCTAAAGATTAAGATAAATTCCCAAGACTGTAAGTTATGATATGTGTGTGTGTGTGTGTGTAATCCCAATGTGTACGGTAATAGGATAGGAAAAGTGATAAAGATTTTTGGGAGAGAGTGAGAAAAATTTAGTTATCCGTTGGATACCGGAATACCATATATCGGTATATGTCTATCATTTAAAATGAATGGATTCCTTGCTGGTTTTTTTTCCTCTATGTTTCTGACCAATTTTCTTAACCATAAAAAAGTTTGTTTTCATTTTTTTTTGTGGATCATTTCAACATACATTATTATTATTATTATTGAAGATATGAAGTACAAAAAATTTTCTTTTCTGCTTGGTTCACTTTTTCATGAAAAAAAATAGAAAAACAACACTAAACACTAAAACACCAAAAACAAAAAACAGCATCAAAGAAGTCATTTTTACTTAAAGAGCCAAAAGTCATAACATCTTAATATGCCAATTCTCTTGAGTCCATTTAGACTTATTTTTTTTCCTTTTCCTTTTCGTATACTGGATCAAATGAAAGTTCTTGTGTGTGTGTGTGTGTATGATGTTTCAAATGAAAATATAGTTTTTTTTCATATAATTTTTTTTCGGAAACTTCAGTTCAGTTCTATAGATTCCAACACTATTTTCTCTCGTTTCATCATCATTATCATCATCATCATCAATAAATTTTACTGAAATATTGAATTTTTTTTCTTCTTTTGACTTTTAAACATTTCAATATTAACGTAGCAAACAACAACAATATTCGATGGATGAATAAATGTTGTGAAAAGAATATGGATAATCATTATAAAAGTGAAAAAAGAAGAAGAATCGAAATAAAATTCACACCATGAAATCCTGAGTTTATCCTGAATAATTAAATTCGTTTGCAACAACAAAATCGTTGAGAAAAGAAAAGAAAATCAATCAATTTATTTGATATTAATTTTCAAAAAAAAAAAATTTATTGTTTAATAAACGAAACATAAATCATTCATAACCGATAATGTCTATAAACATATGGCTTATTCGATTATAACTGATTTTTTCTGTTTTGTTCCAATATTTCTAATAGAATCATCAAATTGTGGCCATTTTATTCTTCTTTTGAAAAGTTTCAAAAATGTAGGCCATTTATTCACATAATTTTTTTCTTTCGATAATAGTCGTCCATCATCGTCATCATCAAATAGAATGAAAACAAAAAAAAAGAAATGCAAATTAAAAGTCAAAGTATCAAGAAGTGAAAAAAAATGAAATTGATGATCAGTCAAAAGTGAAGGCAAAGAATAATTTTACTCTTATTTTTTTCCTGTTTCGTTTTGATTTCAAATAAAAAAAAAACAAACGAGAAAAATTCAATATGATTCAATTGATCATTGTTCCGAAAGCAATGTGTATTTTGTACCCCACAAACAAAAACATTAATAATGTTCGAATGGCAGAATCGATTTGTTTTTTTTTTCATTCTTTCGATTGTTTTCATTTTAGTTTTCTTCACCATAGCCATTCGTCATCATCATCATTATCATTGAAATGGCCAGAAAAAAAAAATCAAACAGCAGTGTTGATGAATCAAAAGAAAACATTATTATCCCTACAAACACTCACTCACTCAAACACACACAACAGTTGTCATCAACATATTCTTGAAATCGTGGACCGGATGAATTTTTTTTTGTTAGCTTAGTTTATGTATACTAAAAAATATGATTGTTTTCGTTTATTTTGTCGCCATATTTTATTTTTCTTTCTTCACTGTTTGGGTTGGGATTTCAATAATCAATTCCATTTGTACAATGATGATGAATTTAGAGCTTCTGAATTTCTAACTATTCACGATTGTTATTGTTATTATTATTTTTTCGTTTGTGAAAATGATTTTTTAATATTAAATAATAACCAACCAACCAACCAACCAGCCCAGTAAAATGGTCCATGTATGTACTTCCAAATATCAATGCGCCAGCAGTATGTGATTCAATATTGTACACACACACTAACACGGGAAACCGGACGATATCGATATGATTATTTATCAGGAAAAAAGAGAAATTCGTCTCACTTCTTGCTTCAAGGAGAAACTATATTTTTTTCCGATAGATTGTTCTATTGGAGAAGAGTAAAACATACACACACACAAATCCAAATTCATCGATTCAATCAAATATTATTATCGAAAGAAAAAAAAATAATGTTTATTGAAACACTTGTAATATAGAGAAGAAAAAAAAATAAATATTTAATATGAAATGATGAAAATATGATCAGAATAAAATAATAATAATAATAACAATAATTTATTCGTTTGGTTCAATGGAACTCCAGAACTCAATGAATGAATGAATGAAAAGTAAATGACGAATCATCTCATCAACGATGTGTGTTTGTGTTGTGTGCAGCCACTTAAATGACACATTCATTATATTCAAAGAAAATAAAAAACGAAAGAAAATTTTTTTCTTATTAACAAAATGTTAAGATGATCGAAAGAATTGATCGATTGATTGTCAATGAAAAACAACAGGAAAAAAAAATCAGGAGAAAAGTGTTTTTTTTGCTGAAAAGGTAGACACTTTACAATTACCCCCCACACACAATTCAATTGTTTGAATGAATGAATGGAATTGGTAACGAAGGAAAAACAAAATCTAAATTAAGAAAAATATTTTGAAGATGTTTTTGTGAATTTTCAATTAAAAATTGAAAATTTGTTTTGCATGGTTGTTGAAAAAAAACAAACATAATTTTTAACAATAATTAAAATCAGTGCAAAACTCTAAACAAGATGATTCTGTATTTTTGGAATTTTTGAAAAAGCAATTCATTTTGAAAAATCAAGTGTTATTTTTATGTAATGTTCGAACTATAGACAGTTTGATGATTTTGTCTTTGTAATTCTAGCAGTACAAAATGTTTAATGAGTCATTTTTTTTAAATGTAAAGAATTGTGAATTCGTGCGATTTCAAGAGAAAGCAAAAGTGTTTTTTTTTTCTTGACAAGAAACATCATCCATTGAATGATATACATTGATGACATGTTTAACAAAATCGGTTCATTAAATTTTTTTCGCGAAAAAGATTTTGTTCTCAAAAAAATGACAATTTGCATGAATTAAGAAACGATAATGACGAGAAAAAAAAGGGAAAGTAATGGAATTCAATAATGAGAAACATAGTCGCGGTCAAATCAATTATTTTAATTAGCTTGCTTGAAACAAAAAACCATTTGGAAATTTTTTTTTTAAATCGTAAATTATGATATCATCCAACAAAAACTTGACATGCTGCTCATGATTTCAACCACATGTTTTCCATAATGCAATTCGTCTATGCAATTTGTATACATTTTTTCATAGTAAATGTTGATCAATATCGACTATTCAATCCGAATGGTAGCCAAAAAAAAGAAAAACGAAATTGGCCTTAAATTTCCGTTTAGTTACATAACTATTAATTAATCTGATAAAACTGAAATTAGTAGATCGATTTGTGTGAAATTTGTCATTTTTTCCCCTAAATAATTTATATGAAGGAACATTAGTTTCATTTAAACAAAACAAGAAAAACAGCAGCAGCAGTAAATCATCAGCTGCCAAAACCGGCACCTGGTAAAATACCGAATACAACAACCAAAAAACAGAAAAATTGATAATGTACACACGCCTTATCGCGTGTTTGTCCATTTTACAAAAAAAAAAATTATGATTCCAGTAGATTATTCAATCAAACATAAAAACACACCCTTAAAAATTGATTACTAATAGGAATAAAATGCAAAAAAAAAGAAGATGATTATGATTTGATTATTGAAAATCAAAAAAAAAACATGCAACATCGACAGATTTTTTTTCATAATTCTTGGTGGAGATTTTTATTCAATTCAAATATAACAATCAAAATATGAACATTTAAAGTGATCTAAAAAAACTAAAATGTAATTATTATTCATCAATAATGAAACTTACTATAAATATGTAATTCTTTTTCTTTACGAACAGTTTGAAAACTTGGTGCTTCGGCGCTCACCTGAAATGACAAATTGATTTGATTTGATTTTTTCGTTTGTTTGAATAAAAATTTACTGCCTTACCTCACAACGAAATGATCCATCAGTATAGACATCAGTTTTGGTCAGATAAACATTACCAAATGATGATCGTTGAAGCTGTTTGAGAAAGAAAGAAAGAAACAGAAATTTTTTTGTTTTGAAAATCAATAATGTTCAATGGATATAAAAATGAGAAAAATTTTGGAAATTCTTTGCACATTTTTTTGTTGTTGTTATCACTGTTATAACCAAATTGACAGCTATAATTGAATAAATTGGAAATTTTTACACAACATTCGATGGGTTGGACCTTTAACTATTAAAACAAATGATTCAAATATTCTATATGGATCATTCATTCACTGATAACAAACAACATTGGCTGTTTGTTTGTTTGTTTGATTTTTAATTAAAAACCAATATATTTTTTTGGTCCTTTTGTTTTTTTTCATTGTTGTCTTGTTTCACAGAAAGAATATTACATTTAAACAAGTGCTGGTCGCAACAAAAAAATGTGAACTCAAATGGTCCAAGTGCAACAGTCCAACAAACATTAAAATTAATGGTGATCGTTTTTTTTGATATGGAAAAAGAAAAAAAAATAAACGAACTGACATCACATTCGTACGCCATTATTATTAAACTTTTTTTTGTTTTGTTTGTTTCAACAATCACTGGTATGTATGTCTTCCAGAAGATGCCAAAAGATTAATGAAAAAGTTACCACCTCTGAATAAAAAAAAACTTGAAAAGTGAAAGAATACGAAAAAAAAGCAGGCGTTGACTATAAAATAATCTCGAAACACACAAAAAAGTGAATCTCGATTTTAAAAGATTTTAAATCGTTTTTTTTCTCTAACGAAAAAAAAAATTATGATTCTAATGATAAGCTCCAATATTCTCTATACGATGTTGTGGACCGTCGATAATGGCCATAGATCAATCACCAAACGGAATCGGAATTTACACTCAATCACTATCGCACACACATATTATCATCATCAATCTAATTGTACGTAATTTATGAACAACTAGAACACTATTATCTTAATCGACGTCCATTTTTTATAAAAAAATAATTGGTAAAAATTAAATTATATACATACAAACACGCAATGATTCCTAAAGTTTTTTTTTGCAAATCGAACAAGTAAACCATATAATTTTTAACGATTTCAATCAAAAATAACAAAAAAAAAATAGCAAAAAGTAGATAAACTTACATCCAAATATATTCCTTCCATTTGAAACATTTGTCCGGGTGGTGAATCTTTTGGTATCCAACGATAAAATTCTCCTTTAGCTTCCGAATCAGCATTCCAATGATACCATTTAATTGAATATAATTCTTCATTTTCAAGGTCATAACTACAATTTAGCCATGCTGATTGACCCATAACAACCATTGTAGGTACATTGACCGAAATCAATTTCAAGGCAGAACAGCCTGTACATATTGATAAAAGAAATTTTGCAAAACAAAATCCATGAGAAACAAAAAAAAAATATTTTATTTTAATTTATAATTGGAATCATTCTATTTTTCTTTATCAAATGCAAAATAAATCATTCAATTTATAAATGAGTTATTGGATAAAACAAAACAAAAAAAAATCTTTTCCAAAAATTAGTTAAAACACCGGAAACAGTGACAAAAAAAAAGAAAAGAAAAATCATCGAAAAGCCTGCAGAGATAATCGTAAATGGTTAAGAAAAAAGAAGAAGAATCATTTATTGATTGTCATGTCATATGTTTATATAAATTGGAATTTAGACAAAATAAAAATCCCACGCGATTATTCATTCACACTAACCAAAAAAAAGTCGAAAATAAATCCAAGTGGATTTTATTAATTTATTGACGACGATGATAAAATTAATGCTGTTGGCATTTCTTCTTCTTTTTTTTGTGTTCAACTTCCAGAATTTGGTTGTCGTTTTTTAGACCAATTTGATTTATTGGTAGGATATGGCCCAGGACAAATGTACTCGAAAATCCAATGAAAAGTAGAAGACAAAAAAAAACTTATCAACTCACTTAATTAAACGCAATCGTTTTTCGCAAAATATTCATCTTCGATATTTGAGGACAAAGATTAAGAAGAAAGATAGAATCGAAGTGTGAAGAAAAATGATGAAAATATTATCAAAAATCTTTCTAATGAATCAGTACATCTTTTTTACGGATAATGATGATTTTCAAAAGGGAACAGAGAGGGTAAAAAATCTGTTAAACTTTATGTTTATTATCATTATAAACGAATTTTGCCTGAGATGAATGTTCCTGTATAACCTAATCGACATAAATAGACAATTCACAAAATATTCAACTGAAAAAAAACTTATGAATAGTAATTTAAGAAATAATCAATGGATCGATAACAATAAATTTATATGATCAACAACAACAACAACAAATAAATCGAAAAAAAACAAAAATCGATTTCCAAATTCAAACTCATAATAATGCGAACATGCAAGCAATAAAAAGTTTAAATAATTTTTTTCATTTCTGACCTGGAGAAAACAACAACAAAAAGTTTTCATTTTTATCTGTTTTTTTTTTTGGTACATAATTTTTTCTACCTTAAAATATTAGGCTGAGAAAGTTATACCAATTTAATGTATTGATGATGATCAATTAATCTATACAATGGGTTGGTGGGTGGTTGTATGATTCATTGAATGAAAAGAAATATTCTTATAGAATCACAATAATAATAATAATAACAATAAAAAAAAGAAACAAGTATACTAGCCATTTTGTTTGGCTATAAACAACAATAGACTATTTTTTTTTTTCTTCATAGTAAAAATCATCGATATTAATTCAATCTTGATAGAGCGATTCGGTTATGATTATTATTATGAGAAAGGAAAGAATTTTCACAAAGATGAAAAATAAACTTCTTTAATTTTTTATGAACAAACCACGTTATGATGATAATAAATGTGGATTGATGTTTCTTTTATTAGATTCTTTTGAAGTGTGTGCGTGTCTGTGGATGGGTAAAAATGGGTCCATCATGTTGTTGATTATTACTAAATAATGGTGGTGGTTAATTGCAACTTGTGCGAACGTGTTTAGCCTTTAGTGGTTATAATTCTTGATTGCCATAAAGGTTCGAACAAAGATGAAAAAAAACAAGATGTTATGAACATAATGATAATAAATTCTATTAACAATTAAAAGATGGATGTCGGTTTATGCTTTGAAACAGAAAAAAATGAACGGAGTAAATTTATATTTATGTTTTCATTGCTGTTGTTGATGTAATGATCTTTTTCATACAAAAAAAAGAATATTCTTATGTAGGAAAAAAACGTGGTCATATCTGATGACATGATAGAAAGCGATTTATTCCACAAAAACACATTCAAAAAACATTGATATTAAAAAAAAATTGGTGGCCAGCAAAAACAAAAATGGCAAACCAAATTTGATTCAATTAAGTCACGAATAACTCAAGCATGCATGAATGTCTATCTGGTTTTTACGAAAATTCTATATGTGCATGTCGGATATATATGGCTATAAACTAATTAATTATACATGCACATTATCTATTGGTTGCTATTGGTAGTTGTTGTTATTAATTTTTATATGATATGATATATGTTTCAGATATGATTAGTGATTGGGTTACCATCATCCAACAAAAAAAAACTGATCATAATTATCAAGTGTATATCAAAAAAAAATCAATGGTCATCATTTTTCTTTTTATTGATCATTATAATTGAAAGTTATCATATAAATATGGTGTGAATATCGATAAGAAAAAAGATTATTATAATAATTTCATCGGAAATAATAAGGATAGATCTACAACAACAACAACGAAAAAATATGAAAATCAATTTGATTGATGCAAATTGATTGCAATTTGGAAATTCAATTATAGCAAATATTAAAAAAAATAAGACAATTATAATGTAATCATGATCAGTGTGAATGATAGAAAATTGAATTCGATTCTATGGATATATTCATACCGATAACTTAGTAACTAAAAAATGATTTTAACTAAATTAAAAAACTAGCCATTTCAAACATTTATATTTCATAGATTTTTATTCATACATTGATGCTACTTGTATGAAGATAGAATCCAGAACGATTCAACGATGATGATCATCATCATGTATGTCGATCAATCTTTTTTTTTTGTTTGTTCCATAATGGGGTTGATGTAGTTGGTCACGGAAATTGTGCGTGAAAAAAAAATGAAATTCTTTGTTTTGTTTAATTGCACCGAAACAAAATACACTGCTACTACCTTCACAATGATCATGATAATTAAAATATAAGTTTCAATCATTTGAGTTGTTGAAACAACAGATAGATTTATAATAATCTTTTCTGAAACAAGAACGAAACAAACCAAGTATGAAATAAATCTATCTGGAACATTTGAAAAATTTTCAGATCTTAAAACTTGTTTCGAAGTAAAAGTTGTGTATATTCCTAATTTGAGATTGAACCGTAAAAAGAAATTTTATTTTAATTTTTTTGAAATCTAAAAATTTTTCATGCGGATTGTTATATGAAAATGCTAAAAAAATGAGTAGATTTATCATCACTTTCATTCATTCATTCATCCATCCATACGCCATCATCACCACTATGTTGATGATTCGAAAATATGAGCTCCATTAATCTATTCACATGACAAGACCCTTAGCTTTTTTTTTTACATTGAATGTCACACAATATTTTATGTACCAAAAAAAAGAAAAGAAAACGGTATCCTTCGGATGACATAACATGTCGTCGGATGATCCATATCATCGAATTTTATATGATTATTTATATTGCTGTACAGAAAAAAAATAATATAACATTCTGTTTCTCCGATTTAAATATATGAGAAAGACCAAAAAAAAAGAAACGATTCATTTTACAAATGTCTGTCCTGAATAGAATAAGAAAATATTTTGAAAATAGAGCGAGCGAGGGAGAGAGAGAGAGAAAGATAAATAAATAATTGCAACTTGAAATTTACATTTTTATTTATTCAAAATCTTTCATACCACATGTATGGAGCCCAGATTTTTTTCCTCACTCTCTCTCTCTCTCTCTCTTTCTCATTGGTTTCCTTACCAATTCTCGTCATTGTTGTTGTCATATTTAGAACTAGATACAAGAAATATATGGCTTGTTTAGTTGAATTCATTTTTAGATTTGAATTTAATTCGAATAAAATTTAAATTGGCTTTCACTCTTCTTCGCCACTTACCTACCTAGCATACAATTTAGCATCAAATAAAATCTTTAAAAGAAATTACATACAAACCAACACCGATGTGATCAAAGAAAAAAACAAGTAATACAGCATGTGGATTTCAAATTAAGAAAAAAAAGGGAGTAATAGCCAAGTAACATGTGGATGATGGATCAAAATTCATGCAAAAAAAAACTTTATATGAATGAAAGTAAGGAGAAAAAAGTTTAGGTAGAATTCCGGAATCCAAAATCAGAATGGAAACAAACAAACATTTTCAATACTATCACAGACAAATGCATATCAAATCACCATATAGATAAAACGACAACAACACATCACCGTGATACTAATTCATACAAAAAACAAAACAACAAACAAAAAAGACAGAGGAATGTAATTAGCAGCCAAAACTATGTGTGCAAAACAAAAAAGTCAATTGGATTCTGTTCCAATATATATACCAAACTTATGTAAACTAAAACAATGAGAAACAAAAAAAAAAGTGATTTTCATTGATGACAATGACTGACTCATTGAATGAATGATCTTATACAGAAAAAAATGAGATAAAAAAGTGAGGAGAAAAAAACATGTCGAATATAATCAGATAAAATTAGAAACTCTAATTTGACAATAATCGAAAAATAAAGAAGAAAAAAAAACTACAACATCAACATTTGTAGTAGCTGAATGTTAATTTGTCGTTTGATTTGAGAATCAAGATAATAATCCTATCGACCATCATCATCATCATCATCATCATCATCAACATTGCCTATCACAAAATTTCTGCCAAATACCCCGGTGTTTGTAACTATGGTTAACTAATATTATGATAATAATAAGAAAAAAAGTAATGATGATGATGATGAAGAAAAGTTTCAAACATTGAAAAAGGCAAAAAAAATTCATGATGTTTAAGAAGATGATTTACCCAAAACAAAAAATCAGAATAATACTAAAAGTATAGAAGTTTCAGAAATTCAAAGAAATAAAGATAGAGTAGTAAAAATAAAAGATTGATTGATGGGCATGTGTGTGCAATTCAAATGGATCGCTAAGCTAATGAAAATCATTTGAAATATTATGAAAATTAAATGATAATCATTATTTGAATTCAAATAATGATCTTTCAATGAAATCTTTTTTCTCCACTATTCCATTTGAAATGATTTTTATTCAAACATATCATACATATTATATGCAGAGAATACACAGG